CAACTTTTTTCTAAAGTTGTCGATAACAACTTTTCTTTATAGAAAAGTTGTCGATAACAACTTTTTTCTATAGAAAAGTTGTCGATAACAACTTTTTTCTATAGAAAAGTTGTCGATAACAACTTTTTTCTATAGAAAAGTTGTCGATAACAACTTTTTTCTATAGAAAAGTTGTCGATAACAACTTTTCTCTATAGAAAAGTTGTCGATAACAACTTTTCTCTATAGAAAAGTTGTCGATAACAACATTTTTCTATAGAAAAGTTGTCGATAACAACTTTTTTCTATAGAAAAGTTGTCGATAACAACTTTTTTCTATAGAAAAGTTGTCGATAACAACTTTTTTCTATAGAAAAGTTGTCGATAACAACTTTTTTCTATAGAAAAGTTGTCGATAACAACTTTTTTCTATAGAAAAGTTGTCGATAACAACTTTTTTCTATAGAAAAGTTGTCGATAACAACTTTTTTTATAGAAAAGTTGTCGATAACAACTTTTTTCTACAGAAAAGTTGTTGATAACAACAATTTTCTATAGAAAAGTTGTCGATAACAACAATTTTCTATAGAAAAGTTGTCGATAACAACTTTTTTCTATAGAAAAAGTTGTCGATAACAACTGTTTTCTACAGAAAAGTTGTCGATAACAACTGTTTTCTATAGAAAAGTTATCGATAACAACTTTTTTCTATAGAAAAATTGTCGATAAGTACCTTTTCTTATAGCAATGTTGTCGATTAAAACTTTTTCTTATAGCAAAGTTGTCGATAACAACCTTTTCCTATAGAAAAGTTGTCGATAAAAACTTTTTTCTATCGATAAAAACGTTTTTGTATAGAAAATTTGTCGATAAAATATAACAACAATACTCCTATTTAAATTTTCCTTTAATTTTTAATAAATACATTCTTTCTGAAATGTATGTATGTGTGTAGGTTCGTATGTGTGTGCTCAAAAATGCTATGTTTTCCTCTCCGAGATTGGCTAGAGGTTACCGTTGTTGTTGCCGCTATTGTAATCACTGTTGTAATTGTTGCTATTCGCTCTCTCTTTGTGTGTGTTGCCACTTTTACACTTCAACTATTGACTTAATAAAACAACAGTATAAACTAACTGTAAAAAGCAACAACAAAAAACTACCACTTTATAAAGATAAACTTTAGACAAACAAACGGCAGGATGGATATGTTACCAGGGACCGAACCAAAGGAACCGCCAGTCATTGAATACAAACACACAGAGAGAGCGACAGCTCAACTCAAATCAAAACTACCTACATATGTACGTGTGTATGAAGGTATGTAAGTGTGGGTTTTGTAATCTAACAAAGTGAAGCTTCCTGCCAGTGTTGCTATGTGCGTGTATGCACATAGTTCAATTTGTAAGTCCCACACATCTACACACTCCCATTACACTTTTCATATTCGCAGGAAATGCGTTGCTTTCCTGAACTGAACTTTATTTTATTCCAATGTTTTTTTTTTTCGTTTTTTTTTTTCTGTTGCTTCCACTTCTCGGTAACTAGACAAGTTCGCCAGCTGTAGTGGCCATAAAAACTATCAAAAAGTACTCTCGACTATTCATATCATTCTGTTGTGAAAAATGTAAACTATTCGCATAATATATACGCATTCACGCGTTGCACTTTACGCATGGACGGATAGTCAAAGTCATTCACACACAAAACAGAAAATTAGTTATGTTTCATATGGCAAGTTATTTTCATTGCGAAGTTTTGCAATCAAAATATGCGGGGGTAGAATAAATAAGCTTTGAAAAAAGAAAAAAAGTGGTCAATAACAACTGTTTTCTATAGAAGAGTTATCGATAACAATTTTCTGCGTAGAAAAGTTATCGATAACAATTTTTCTGCATAGAAAATTTATCGATAATAACTGTTTTGCAAAGAAAAGTTATCGATAACAACTTTTCTGCATAGTAAAGTTATCGATAACAACTTTTCTGCATAGTAAAGTTATCGATAACAACTTTTCTGCATAGTAAAGTTATCGATAACAACTTTTCTGCATAGTAAAGTTATCGATAACACATTTTCTGCATAGTAAAGTTATCGATAACAACTTTTCTGTAGAGAGAAGTTATCGATAATAACTTTTCCGTATAGAAAAGTTATCGATAATAACTTTTCCGTATAGAAAAGTTATCGATAACAACTTTTCCGTACAGAAAAGTTATCGATAACAACTTTTCCATATAGAAAAGTTATCGATAACAACTTTTCCGTATAGAAAAGTTATCGATAATAACTTTTCCGTATAGAAAAGTTATCGATAATAACTTTTCCGTATAGAAAAGTTATCGATAATAACTTTTCCGTATAGAAAAGTTATCGACAACAAATTGTCCGTATAGAAAAGTTATCGATAATAACTTTTCCGTATAGAAAAGTTATCGATAACAACTTTTCCGTATAGAAAAGTTATCGATAACAACTTTTCCGTATAGAAAAGTTATCGATAATAACTTGTCCGTATAGAAAAGTTATCGATAATAACTTTTCCGTATAGAAAAGTTATCGATAATAACTTTTCTGCATAAAAATATTATCGATAATAACTTTTCTGTATAGAAAAGTTATCGAGAGTAACTTTTCTGCATAGATAAGTTATCGATAATAACTTTTCTGCATAGATAAGTTATCGATAATAACTTTTCTGTATAGAAGAGATATTGATAATATTTCTGCATAGAAAAGTTATCGGTAATAACTTTTCCGCATAGAAAAGTTATCGATAATAACTTTTTCGGCAGAGAAAAGTTATCGATAATAACTTTTCTGCATCGAAAAGTTATCGGTAATAACTTTTCTCCTTCGAAAGGTTATCGATAATAACTTTTCTGCCTGGAAAGTTATCGATAATAACTTTTCCGCATCGAAAAGTTAACGATAATAACTTTTCCGTATAGAAAAGTTATCGATAATAACTTTTTCCGTATGGAAAAGTTATCGATAATAACTTTATCCGTATGGAAAAGTTATCGATAATAACTTTATCCGTATGGAAAAGTTATCGATAATAACTTTATCCGTATGGAAAAGTTATCGATAATAACTTTTTTCGTATGGAAAATTTATCGATAATAACTTTTTTCGTATGGAAAAGTTATCGATAATAACTTTTCCGTATAGAAAAGCTATCGATAATAACTTTTCCGTATAGAAAAGTTATCGATAATAACTTTTCTGTATAGAAAAGTCATCGATAATAACTTTTCTGTATAGAAAAGTTATCGATAATAACTTTTCTGTATAGAAAAGTCATCGATAATAACTTTTCTGTATAGAAAAGTCATCGATAATAACTTTTCTGTATAGAAAAGTCATCGATAATAACTTTTCTGTATAGAAAAGTCATCGATAATAACTTTTCTGTATAGAAAAGTCATCGATAATAACTTTTCCGTTTAGAAAAGTTATCGACTATAACTTTTCCGTTTAGAAAAGTTATCGATAAAAACTTTTCCGTTTAGAAAAGTTATCGATAATAACTTTTCTGGATAGAAAAGTTATCGATAATAACTTTTCTGCATAGAAAAGTTATCGATAAGAACTTTTCTGCATAGAAAAGTTATCGATAATAACTTTTCTGGATAGAAAAGTTATCGATAATAACTTTTCTGGATAGAAAAGTTATCGATAATAACTTTTCTGGATAGAAAAGTTATCGATAATAACTATTCCGTATAGAAAAGTTATCGATAATAACTATTCCGTATAGAAAAGTTATCGATAACAACTTTTCCGTATAGAAAAGTTATCGATAATAACTTTTCTATTGAAAAAAGTTGTCGATAACAACTTTTCCGTGCAGAAAATAACAACTTTAACTAAAAGTTATCGATAACAGCTTTTGTGTATAAAAAATGTCTTCCTCTAGAAACATTTTTGATTGTACCAATCCAACCATAACTTCATTTCGATAACTACTATTCTCCATTAAAATTTCTTAATTTGCCCCTTTCTCTCGTTTATCGCAAAATTAAAATTCGATTGCCTCTGTGATGCCAAAACAAATACAATTTTCCCATCTATGTTTAATAGTCTCAGATAATTTTGTGCAGCACTCATTCAGCTCTGCACCTCCCATCTAACATTGATGGACTGACTGACTGACTGATGATGGCCAAACTGGATTCAATTCCATCCTTCTCATTTCATTTATCATAACATCATTTCCCACAAGTGTGCTGGCAGCAGCCTACTTGCCACTACCATCGATGCTCCTGACGATAACGATTTCGACACATAATTGCTTTTTTCGTTTCTATGCCCAGTCCTCCAATTGGAAATTGCTTTGGATATTGGGAATTCAAGCAATAGATAATGGTCCCATTGATGCAAATGCACGACAAAGGATGTGAATTCTCCTGAATAAGTCATAAATATTATTATTTTATGCCAGGGACACTCAATTGTATCGGTAGTTTTACTATCGTTATGAAATAGTTTCATTTCAAATTGCGAAATTTTGGAGTTAACCCATAACCCCACAATAGAACATTGAATGGAATACATTTTATTCTAACCTATAATCAATAAAATTATATGACAATATATGTGAATGTGTTAGTGAGTATGTGTGTCTGGTGTTATTGTGGTCCATTGAGTGTGAGTGTGTTTGGGTGTATGTTTTCAACATTTCCGCTTAAATATTTTTTACGGAAGTATTTGTAAAAATCTATCGGAGTTAAAATGAATAAAAAACTACAAATAATAGTTGTATGTTGCATACTTTTAGGCGCGGGGTGAATGGAATACAAAATAAGAGAGGGAGAGTACCAAAAATTGTTTTCAATTTGTTATAGATTTGTTACTTAGAAAAGTGGTTATTCAGAAATTTTCTTTTATAAATTGTGTATCTAATACGAATATCTTTTATATATGTCTGGATTTCCTATTAGTTTTTATATATTTCTTAAGAAAATATACTTAAAAAATTATTATAAAATTTTAATTATTTTTTCTTCATTTATTTCCAGATTCAACTTCTCCGCTGATCATTATCCACGAAGTGGAAAGGTGAAAGAAGTTCACAAAATGCCTTTCTGATCTTGTTAAACCACCATATCTGCCAAGGACACATTTGTCTCAATTTCACAGTCCTCATCGATGTTGGTGGCATACAAATCAAAAAGAAACGTCCATCTCTTGGATTCCTCTGAAAATGGCGTCCAACATCATGAAGGTCCCAAATTCGTGAATGATGACTTTACAGAGAACGGGCGCTAATCCGTTGACTATATTAGACTCCATAATGGTGTCAAACATATGCATTTTAAGGAGGTTCACATGACATCGTAACGAGTAAGGTTGTTGACTGCCTTTTGGTTGTGATCTTGGCTATGAAGGATGTCTTCTGTGGCTTTTCGTCCTATGCTGCAATGAGAGAGAAGAAAACCTTATTTTAAAAATGGGCAATTAATCTTTTTTTTTATAAATTTTATAGAAGTGGTTATATTAGAAAAAATTTTAGTAATTCAGAAAAATTTTAATAATTAAATAATTTTTATAATTAACAAAAAATTTTAATAATTAACAGAAAAGAGAAAAAATAAAGAAAAAATTTTTTAGAATTGTATTTTTTTACTGCGGTTTTATTGGAATTTTGCAACTACATTTGTAATTTAATTCGCTATTTAAATAAAATAATAAAAACATATTTTTTATAAAATGTTAATTATTATAAAAAAAAATTTGCTGAGGTAAATTTTAGCAATAATCTAAAAAAAATTTAAATGGCTTGAAAATATAAATTTTTATGTGAAAACAAGTAAAAATACAGCTTACTTCGGTCGGGACGAATTTTTAATATTCTTTACCATTTGGAAGAAACTTGCAAATTTCGAAGAATTGCACTGCAAAAAAATTATGCTAAAATTACCAAAATAACTAATATAAAATAGTACAAGTATATGGAGGCTATACGAAGGCTGGGACATGTATAGCCGGTTATATACCATAGAAGACGGTGCCAAAAACCAATTTTGAGAAAACTCCTGTCATAGGAAGTGGTAGCCATTACAAACTCTAAATACCAAATTGTAAAATGTGTGAACCATATCAGCAAAATACTGTATATATGGAGATACAGTTAGGCCGAAAGTTGGACCTATATGGAGAAGTATCGTACACACTAAGAAAACAAACTCCCAATTTACAGTGAGTTCGGTTTGCAGCTGTTACTAAAACACCCAAAAAAATCTTAATTCTATACCAAAACGTGGCCCTACATAGGCCCATTTCCAGTACTAACAATTTTGCGGATTTATGAGTGAAATTATTTCCACTTAATAAATTTCGTTCGGAAACCAGAGTAATTTTCTCAGACAGGCGGACATCGGCTAACTCCACATATAAATTTATGCTGATCGAAAATGTGGAGTCCAAAATATATATCGATCAATTACAAACGGAATGACAAATGTCAGGTTTTAATCACATTCTACTTTAAGAAAGTTTTATAACTGCTGTGGAAACTACAGACACAAGCAGTGACATCGATATCAATTTTCAGGATTTCGGCTCTACTCCTTCACCCAATACCAAATTTAGTACCATTTAGTACTTTTTGAGCAATTTTAGTACTCATTTCCAAAACCAACTCCATATTCTAATCCCAGATACCAATAGAGACCCCAATATCAAATGTGAGGATTCCAGCCACTTTCCTTCACCCAATACCAAATTTAATACTTTTCGTACAATTATGGTACACATTTCCAAAAACACATCCCTATCTCAATTCCAAATACCAATAGAGACCCCAATATCAAATTTGAGAACTCAAGTTCCATTCGTTCTCCCAATACCATATTTAGTACTTTTCGTACACATTTCCAAACCCACCACCATATTTTACCCCGGACATCGACAGTGACATATATATCAAATTTTAGTATTCCAGCTCTATTTCTTCACCTAATACGAAATTTAGTACTTTTCCTACAATTGTAGTACACATTTCTGGAATCATCTCCATATCTAAACATCGGATACCAACAGAGACATCAATATCAAATTTATCTCTATTCTCTCACCTAATACCTATATCTATTCTCTCACCTAATACCCAGTATGGAAGTCCTCAGTACTTTTCGAACAATTTTAGCACACATTTCCAAAAACACCTCCATATTCTAACAACAGACGCCGATATCAATTTTCATGCTTTCAGTTATATTCCTTCAAATTTCGTACCATTCAGTACTTTTCGTACAATTATAGTACATATTTTCAAAAACCATCACCGTATCTCTTCCCAGATACCAACAGAGGCCTCAATATCAAATTTCGTGATTCCAGCTGTATCCATTAACCCAATACCTATATCATATCTCAATTCGAGATGCAAACAGAAACCTCAATGTCAAATTTGAGGATTCCAGCCCCATTCTTTCACCCAATATCAAAGTTAGTACTTTTCCTACATTTATATTACTCATTTCCAAACCCAACTCCATATCTGAAAACCAGATACCTACAGGGACCTGAATTTCAAATTTCGTGATTCCTTCACCTAATACCCAATTTAGAAACCCCTTGGTACTTTTCAAACAATTTTTGTACGCATTTCCAAAATTTATTTTGTAATGGTAGTGGTTGGCAGGCCCTAATATAGACTCTATTTAACAGAGCCAGGGATAAAAACTCTCACAAAGTTCGTGTCTGTAAAATACACACAGTCAAGTCTTTCGTGTTGCTAGAGGTTGGTTAATGTTGCTGTAAGTCAATAGTGCCTGAATGTTAAACAGACAAATCGTAGCATAGTTTTGGGAGCCTATTTATGTTGTACTCACCACCTGGTGTTAAAGATCCAATAAAAACATCTTAAGAAGAAGAGACAACCTTATAATTGTTCTATGATTTTTTTTAGCAATTTCATTAAAATTGAAAAAATTGTTGCATATTTTTGGGAACCTACTTCGTACTCACCGCTTTCTTTTCTAGAAAGACAGCAGTGCTTGAAGATCATCAAACATCTTTTGCAGGTAAAGATTGAATGAAATCAATTTACGAAAAAAAAAAAAAATAGTAAAGAAAGTCTTAAAGTCGGGCGGGCCGACTTTATAATATCCTACACCACTTTGCTAATTTAGTAGAGCTCCACATAACATTTAAAAGTTTTTATGGGAGAATTCAATCATACACTCTATGATTATAATTATAATTTAAAGTTCAAAGGACACAATATGCCGAAGCATTTGTATCTTTTATATTCGGACTTGTATTGCCCATTTGGTGCACAATAAATTTGAAATCGGATAAAGATATATATGGGAGCTTTATGCAAATCGGAACCGATCTCGACAAAATTTGGCAAAGATATTTCTGAGCTGTATTTGATATATTTTCCTGAATATCGTTGTTACGGAGTGCATATTACGGCTGTGGGTAACAAATATAACAAATCGGATGAAGTATATATATGGAAGCTATAGCTATACCTGAGCCGATCTTCACCAAATTTGACATACTAGCTTCTAGACTCAATTCGGTCGTAAGCGCCACATTTCATCCCATTTGGACAAATATTAGACGTTTGGCGCACAATAAAAGGTAAATCGGACGAAGTTATATATGGGATATATCCAAATCTGAACCGATCTCGATAAAATTTAGCAAAGGTTTTTCTGAGCTGTATTTGATCGATTTCCCCAAATATTGTTGTTGCAGAGTGCATATTACGGCGGCGTTGGACAAAAATAACAAATCGGATGAACAATATATATGGGAGCTATAGCTATATCTGAACCGATTTCGATCAAATTTGGCATACTTATTTTCAGGCCTAATTTGGGTGTATATGCAAAATTCCCTACAATTCGGGCTGATATTACACGCTTGGTGCACAATAAAAGGCAAATCGGACGAAAATATATATGGGAGCTATATCTAAATTTTGACCGATTATCTCCAATTTCAATAGGGTTCGTCCTTGGGCCAAACAAATGATCTGTGTAAAATTTCATCTGGATCGGGCAATAAATGCGACCTGTACTTTGTTTACAAAAATACATGGACAGACGGACGGACGGACATGCATAAATCGACTCAGAATGTGATTCTATGCAGATCATCAAAAGGAACTATGGGTCTATCTCGTTTCCTTCTGCCTGTTACAAACAAATGCACAAAGACATAATACCCTGACCACCTTGTGGTGTAGGGTATAAAAAACAATATTCACAAGTTAAATCCATTAAAGTCCAGTGTAGCTAAAACAAGAAAGGAAGACCAAAACAAAAAAATTGAATGTCCTTTTAATCGAACTTGTCCTGGGTTTGTAGATGTCACTCAACTGTGATATCCTGCTCTATATCCTTTTCCTGCCATCCATACAACTACAAAACCCCAAAAAGGATTTATGTGTTGAAAGAGACGAATGAATTTCAGAGAAAAAAAAATCATTGTCCTAGAATATCCTTTAGACATGGTGACACTTTAAACCATGACCTATACTAAGGAAAGAATTCCTTCGAATCCTAGCAAAATATCTAATAAAACAAAAAAGAATCGAAAAAATCCTGAAAATATGGAAGACATGTAGAGATGCATTAGAGTGCCAGTGAGACAGGATAACAAATTGCCAGGTGAAAACAAACATTGACACTTTAAGTGTTTCCCTAACAGCTGGGTATTAATTTTGTTGCTTTTGAAAGATGGATGATATGTAAATAAAAAATAAGAGGGATGAAGGGAGATAGGTGGATTTTAAGGCACCAATTTAGCTGGATGTGTTCAATAGAGAATAAAAATGAAAGGACAATTTTCAAAGTGAACAGAATATTGTTATTTGAGATGCGATGGATTATAAAATTTTCGTTGCTATTTTAATTATTTTTATAGCATACTTTCAGGCGCTCCCCACAATTTTTATATTAGAAAGGGACTATTTATAGTAAATATTAAATAAAATAATTTAAGTATTCATATTACATAACCATGTTTTGGATGTTAATGAGAATTCCAGCGTTAGGCGCCCTTAAAAGTATGCAATAAAATTGCTTAATATAAAATGTGAAAAATTTGCCTCATATATTACATGATGTATAAACTAGGATTACGATAAGCTGCAAGTTCGGCAGGGCCGAACTTTGAACACTTAAGATTTTAACAGAATTTTTAATGGATTTTAATTTTCAAAAAATTAAAATCCATTAAAAATTCTATTAAAATCTTAAAAATACCGAATGTAGCCGTATATTAGGGTCTATACGACGACGTGGACCTGCATAGGGTCATAAGCCTGCACAGAAAACTTCAAATACAAATTTGAAACAATTCCGGTAAATAATGTCGCTAAAATCATCAAAATACCGAATATCGGAAGGTACCGTTATATGGGGGCTATACGAAGATGTGAACCTACATGGCCCATTTTCAATACCAAAAGTCCTGCAGACATAA